GTAATGGGAAAAATAGTGCACAAAGGCAAAAAATTCCTAGCAAGACGAATAACTTCCTTAATTTTTAGTGTAATTAAGTTGATAATGCAAGTTTACTTATAAATTAAGTCTAGAGGTCAATATCATTTGCAAAGACAAAGTCCAATTTCTTATGCTCTTATTTTGGACTTTTAGGGAGAGTAGCTAAGATGTGGGATGTTTTTCCTTAGTTTTTAGAAGCCATGGTCATATAAAACAGCCGAGACCAACATTTACCCAACTCTGGTGGTAAGGTGTATGTAATGATCAATCTGCCCATCTTGGCCACAGTGTCAGACGAGTGTCAATTTTATAGATCGACACGAATACGTTACTAATTTAAAATGACACAGTTAGATAGTATGAATAATAGAAGAGAAGGGTTATTATGACACAAATAATTACTTTAATTGATACACTTTGGGAAAAAAGTGAATTTTCTTATTTTTGTTGTTGATCTAATATTGAATACATTATTTTGCTAACATAATGTGATTCATAAGCGATATAATTCGAACTTAAGATGATACAAATGAATTACATCCTTACTCTAATCCTACACATGTTTTTTTTTTGTAAGATAGATATAATTTTGTTAATCTAAAACATAGATATACAATAAAGCTCAAAAGACGCAACAAAGCCCACAAAGGAAAATTACACAAGTAAATCACGGGGGACGAAAAAGAAAGAAAAAGATGCTGTGATCTTTTTTATATAAACCGAAGAGTCTTCCAATAATTGAACTTTGGGAGTAGTTGAAAATTTATGTACATGTACGCTAAATCTGAAAAAGAGTGTTGGTTGGACTTTTAGGAGAAAGTCGCTGAGATGTGGGACGTGGTTCCTTAGTTTTTAGAAGGTATTAGTGGATCATATAAACCAACATTTACTCAACTCTAGTGGTAGGGTGCATGTAATGATCACCTTGCCCATTTGGGTCCCAATGTTAGAGGAGTGCCAATTTTCGAGAGGGAAAAGAGAAGGGGAAGGGGGGGAGACTTCTTGCCGTACTGACTTTTGGCTTATCACATATATGCCCTTCATATTTATTGTTATAAAATCATCATTATGCTAAATTTATTAAATTGTCTCCTTAACTTTTGAAAAATTTGTGTGGGGGTCCTAATAATATTTTTCCTTTAAGTAAGTTAGTGATCTCTACGAATTAATTTCTGAACAAGAAGGGAATGTCACTATTAGACTCCATAATAAGTTTAATGATGCTATGTGATTGCATATATCAAAAGAAAATTGCTAAAAAAAATTAGCGTATAATCAATCAATTATAGATGAATTTTGCGATTTGTAACAACAACAATGCCATTTGTAACAACTACAACATCATATTACATGAACATATTTTGTTGAGGCTGAATTGATACTTGTTTCTATCTGGTGCTTGAATTTAGGAACTCCTTTATATCCAAATCAAATCCAATTAAGTTTTTGTTAATAAAGTATCTGAAAAATTATTTGTGCTGGTTAAAAAATAAAATTTATTTATATTCTGCCCCCCTCTAATCTGAAATTTTGACNTAATAAAGTATCTGAAAAATTATTTGTGCTGGTTAAAAAATAAAATTTATTTATATTTTGGCCCCCTCTAATCTGAAATTTTGATTCCGCCCCCTCGACATGAATACATTAATAATTTAGAAATAACACGATTAGATAGCAAGAATAATAGAAGAGAAGGGTTATTATGACATCTTCCATGTTTGGTGTTTTGTGTGAGTTGCCTTTGTGGGTCTTGCCTTCGCAGGTGATAAATTTTATTTTGAACTTAACTCTAAATATCATTTTATTTTCAGCAACTTTGAAATAATCTTTGGACAATGGCGTCAAGTAAAAGAAAAGAAATTTTGCAACTTTGAAAAAAGGCTACTTAGGTGTTTGATTTCGGTGTAGNTTAACTCTAAATATCATTTTATTTTCAGCAACTTTGAAATAATCTTTGGACAATGGCATCAAGTAAAAGAAAAGAAATTTTGCAACTTTGAAAAAAGGCTACTTAGGTGTTTGATTTCGGTGTTTTTTTTTTTTTTTCCACATACGACTAGGGTCAACTTAATAAAAATTAAGATTCAAGATAAACATTTTTAAATTGGAGTCTTTTAAAAATTAATACAAATAGATATATAAATGACAGGAATGTATTTGTTTTTTTGAAATGCAAACATACAAAATAAACAACTTTCAAATGCAGGATCTAAAAACAACTGCTGTAATTTGCATATTCACTTATGAAACATCGTCTTTCAAATGCTAATTCTAGCAGTTGAAGTGAAATGGGAAATAAGGTCATTTCTGATGATGAGGTTGGAATATCATTCAATTTTATTTTTAAATAATATGAAGTGGTGAAAAAGCTTTGAGACAATAAAGTAGCTCCATTTAAAAAAAAAATTAATATTAAATTTCTATTGAAAACACGTTAAAATAAAGTATTATGCAAATAATTGTATATAAAAATAGAATAATATAATAAATATAATAAAAAAATTATCAAAAAGACAATGAACATTTATCTTGAACTCTATTATTACTTTTTTATTTGATTGCGAGTAAATTTAAACTCACCTATTGGGTAAATTAAGATTAAGATTCGAATTATAGCCATTATTAAAATGAAGGTCCATTGACCTTTTGGGATTCCTAACTCTTATACTAACACGTGCTCATTAGTATTCATTGCATTTGGGATTCTACAGTAAACACCCCCGCCTCCCCCCTCCTTCCTTTTTTTTTCGTTTTTTTTTCTCTCTCCCCCTTCTTAAAAAAAATCAATTTGAGGGCCTTTTTGGTCAATGAAAACCTAGTTTTAAGGTAACAATCATCAAAGTGACAGACCGCATGCAATTTAACTTGTGTAGGTTTTTGTTTGTGGGCGTTTTGAGCTTTACTATATATATTTTTTTTGGGATTAACAAAATCTATATCTCTTGATGATCCACAAAAATATGTTTATGAAACAATTGCCAAGTATTTAGTGTAGTAATTAAGAATGAGACTCAACACAGGTAAACACAAATTAAATAGTTTGGTTAAGGTAACCTACTTCATTATGAAAGGCTACAATAGACAGAGTGTTTTATTGTTTAAGGAATGTAAAATGCTTAGATGTGAGTGATATGAGAGATGCACTCCTTGTATAGGTGAGGATTACAATTTATAGGTGCATCCTAACAGATTAAGGTACTACTCTTATAACAGGTGAGGTAGTTCGGTAGAGTAACGTCATTCTCGTAACAGGTGAGACAATTATGTGGAGATGGCAACGTGCACGTCACACGGAGATCTTCTCCTGTGTCAGTTATAGATTGAGTCTCCCAAGATGGTGCGGCTGACCTGACTGAGCTTCCTTCATCCTGTGGTGAGTTTGGCTTGTATGTTTGAGGTGTGTCTGATCTACGATTCTGGGTAAGGTCTGTATTTCCAAACTAGACCTCTGAGTTGGGTCTGGTCTAGGCCGAGCCTGTCATATCTTCAAAAAAAATTGTGTCAACTAAGAGTAAAGATATAATTCATTAATATCGTATCAGTTTCAGATTATATCGTGTTATGTGTCATATTATGTGAACAAAATAATATATTCCATATTAGATCAAAAATAAAAATAAGAATTTTTTTTTCAAAGTATATCAATTAATCTAATTATGCATGTGTCACAATAACCCTTCTCTTTCATTATCCATAATAACCTTTCTCTTCTCTTCTCTTCTCTTCTATTATTAATGAATTATTAATATATTAGTTGGTGCCCATGTATGTTGTACATGGACCATTTTAAATTATAATTTTAGTTTTTATTTTTTAATTTTTACTCGCATTATCTGTATATTTATAGTTTTATGTATACATAAAATAAGTGTGAAGTTAGAAAGTAAAAGAGACAAAATGTAAAAGAATGACATCAGGTCATTCATTTGATTACTTATTAGTTGTTTATAAAATTTATATTTCAAATATTTTACTTCTACCATGGTGTGAGCAATACTTAGCAGAATTCTCATAAAAAATATTGACTTTGGATTGGAAAAAATTACAATCTTACAATAAATATTTAACAATTGAAAACCAAAAAATGAATTAAAACTCGATAGAAGTGAATAAATACAAAACTAATAAGTAGAATTTGTTTATAGTTGCAAAAATTAATCTCATGCACCAAGACCATGGCAAATCAAATTTCTAAATTAAAATTGAGAAGTAAATAAATAAAAGAAATTGAATNTAATCTCATGCACCAAGACCATGGCAAATCAAATTTCTAAATTAAAATTGAGAAGTAAATAAATAAAAGAAATTGAATTTAAATAGTGAATAAGAGAGATCACATTCTCTTAAATTCCTATGTTACACTCAGATTAAATCATCAAAACAGTAGTTGATACTACTGATAAAAAAAAAAAAAGAATCATATAAACAACCAAGAATTATTGCATTTTGAGCTCATCATCTTCAATATCGTTTATAGTCTTACTTTCATAAGATTTATGACAACTTGTAAAAGAAAAAAAATAAAAACAAAACACAGAAATGGAGGTTGCTATAGAAGTTATAGAGAAGAATAAAAAAATCAGTAGCTTCTATTATTTAAAGAAAGAAGATTTCTCTACTTGTGGTAAGTGAGAATTTGGAAAGATAGCATGTTATTCTTATATTGATTTTTTAATTCTCTAGTATTACGAATATGAAATGTCTGCATCTTTGTTCCCAACCCCCTTGAAGCCCTAAGGTTCTTGCTCATCGCCAACCCATTCCACTCCATCTCACCTTCCATCCAACCCACTTCTCTAGCTTTTCAATCTTCTATTCCCACTGATCTTTCCTTTTGCCCTATTTCGATTGCGCTATTTTTTTGCCCTAAACCCCAAATTTCAATCAAGTTTTTGGCTTCAATCAATTTTTTTCTCTCCGTTTCTTCTTTCCGTCTCTTCCTACCCACCATTTCCCCTTATTTATTTCCCCAACTACTCATGGGTGACAACATTAATGCTCCTTGCATTAATGGATCTGAACCAGATCTGGGAGGTAGAGTCGCCGTTGACAGTTGCAAATGAAGGAAGTTGCCTCAAATGGTGAAATTTCTTCATAGCAGGAACCAGTTACAACAAAAGCCACAACAAAGGGACTTACCAAGCCCAACCTGGTGAAGGGAAAAACCTCCCTTAACGACTCTAGCAATAGTCCGAGTAGAGGTGAGGGCTGTGGAATTGAAGGTGGTGGACAACCCCATACCTACCGTACACCTTGGAACCAAGTTCTGAGTTTAGGAAGGGATGACAACTCTTCTAATCCAACGAAAGAAATGAAGCCCATGTATATTGAGCCTATCAAGCGTGAATCTAGGATTATTGTGGAACCCCCCAGGAAGTAGCTACTCAAGGTAGCAAGGATTGGAAAACCAGCTTGGTGGGTTATTTTATCGAGAAGAGACTTCCATTTTCTACTGTGAGTTTTTTGGCTCATAAGATGTGGGATAAGTTGGGTTTGTTAGAGGTCTATGCTAATGACAGTGGGTTCTTATTCTTCAAATTCATGGATGAGGAGGCAAGAGTTAAGATGGTTGAAGCTGGTCCATGGCTCTTCTCTAGGAGACCTTTGATCCTAAAGAAATTGCATCTTAGTTTCATGATGGCTAAGAAGGACCACTATGTTCTTCTTGTATGGGTCAAGCTATATAATGTACCTCTCTAATTTTTGAGTGAGTAAGGACTTAGTCATCTAGCTAGTGCTGTGCGTAAACCATTATAAGCTGGCACCCTCCACTAAAAAGAGGATTAGTTTTGCTCATGTATGTGTGGAAGTCCATGCAGCTGAGCAACTAGTTAATTCCTTTGATTTGGTTGTGGGCTCTAGCAACTCGAATGAGTTGCTTGAAATAAAAGTTGAGTACCAATGGAAGCAACAAGCAGATTTTATAAACGAAGGAAAAGCCATTACTTCCACTATAATAGTTGACCCGCCTAGACTGTGAGCCAGCCTCGGGTAGACTCTTCTATCAACAATCCAGGGTCTAACTTTGTGGACCTTATGCATTCAAAGGACCCTCCTCTATGGAAAAATGTGGTAACTTCTTTTTCTATTATTGATAATGTTCTTGATGTGTGCCCTGCCCCAATATCCCCAAACAAATTTGGATATCTGGATCTTGAAGGAGGCCAACTTGTGGTGAAAGCTAATTGGGAAAGTCAAGAAGAAGAAAGTTAAGAACAAAAAAAATTAAGGGTTGAAGTAATGAGGTTCCCCTTTGCCCCTCTATCTTTATTTCTCCATGTTAAACATAGCTTGCTGAAACATTAGGGGCTTGAATGACCCCATTAAACAACAGGAAATAATAAAAATCATTGTTAATCAACATCTTCATATGATTAGCATTGTGGAAACTAAAGTGAGACCTATAAATAAGGACTGTTTTGAGAAATATTTTTAGGTAGTGGAATTCAACCTCTAACTATAGTAGTCACCATTTTGGCGGAATTTGGGTTGAGTGGAACCCAAATGTTTTGAAGGTGAATAAAATTATTGAAACTGATCAACATATTGTATGCAATGTATAGTCCATTGATGGTATTTTTGATTTCTATGTGGCTTTTGTGTATGGGGCCAATGATGACAAAGATAGAAAGAGACTTTTGGGTGACCTCAAGTATTTTGTTCTCACTGTTGCACCTACCCCTTGGCTTGTCTTGGGGGACTTCAATATTGTTAGAGGAGTTCATCAATCTGTGGGGTGTTTTGGGAGAAAAATGATTGCCATGAAGAATTTTGATGAATGTTTGTAAAGTGTTACTCTTGAAGTCCTAAGATATTCTGCACATTTTTTCACCTGGTGTAACAATAGACATGACTTTGGTATTGTTTAGAGGAAATGGAATAAAGTACTTGTCAATGAACACTGGCTCCAAAAATTTCAATTTTCAAAAGCTGAATTTTTGCCTCTAGGAATATCTGATCACAACCCAATTTTAGTGAGGATTGGTCCCCAGAAAGTTAGAGGCAGATACCCATTTAAAATTTTTAAATTTTTGGGCTGAAAGGGAGAATTTTCTTCACATTATTGCCCAAGTTTGGAGGGAAGAGGTCCAAGGTACTCTTCAATTCCAAGTGTGCACCAAACTTAAGAAGCTCAAAGCCACTTTAAAGTTATTGGGGAAGGAGTCTGGGGATGTGTCTATGAGAACTAATGAGGCCAGAGAGGAGCTTGTTACTTACCAAAACCAACTTGTTCTTGACCCCCTCAACACCACACTCAAGAAGCAGGAGGAACTCCATATGCTAAATTTCACTAAAGTTGGCAGAGAAGAGGAAATCTTCTATAGACAAAAATCTAGAGTTAAGTGGCTACAAGAGGGTGATAATAACACTGCCTAATTTTTCAAGACTTTTACCAATAGAAGAAATAGGAAAAATATCATTTCTCTAAGAAGAGCTGATGAGTCTCTTGCTTGTAATGAATCTGAGGTGAAGAAGGAAGTACTTGATTACTACACTCAACTTCTTGGGAGTTCTTTCTCAACTATGAATTCTTTTGAAAGGAATATCTTGTTAAGCAAGATTATTCAAAATAAGATTTCATCTGAGCAAGCCATTTTTCTGCCGAGAGATATCACTCATGATGAAGTTAAAGATGTTTTCTTTTCTTTCAATGATAACAGAGCTCCAGGCCCTGATAGCTTCAATGCGTGTTTCTATAAGAAATGTTGGTCTGTCGTAGGACAAGATATCACAAGGGCTTTGATGGAATTCTTCTACCCTGGCAGGCTCCTCAAGGATTTCAACACAACAATTGTTGCTCTTGTCCCAAAGGTCCCTAATCCCACAATGGTTGGGGACTTTAGACTCATCTCATGCTATAATGTTTTTTTTATAAAGGTATTGCTAAGATCATTGCAAATAGGATCAAGGGTGTCTTGCGGAATATCATAAGTAACAACTAAGCAGCCTTTATTCCTGGGAGTAAAATTGGAGACAATATCCTTCTCACACAAGAAATTTTGAGGGACTACCAAAAGAGTAATGGGACTCCCAGATGTGCTATTAAGGTTGATTTCATGAAGGCTTATGACACTTTGAGCTGGAATTGCTTACTTGATATCTTGGAGGCCTTTGAATTCCCCCCTATTCTTAGAACCTGGATAAAAGCTTGCATTTCTACTCCCAAGTTCTCTATTAATCTTAATGGAGAACTGGTTGGATTCTTTCCCAGTTCTAGAGGTATTAGACAGGGAGATCCTCTCTCTCCTTATCTCTTTGTTATGGCCATGGAAGTTCTCACTCTAATCAACCATCACCTCATCTCTAGTAGTCGGGATTTTAAATTCCATTAGAGATACAAAAAGATTAAACTAACCCAACTCATTTTTGTAGATTACCTTTTCCTTTTTTGTAAGTCTACTTGCTTTCTCAAGGAAGGCTTGGACTTGTTTCAGCATATGACTAGTCTTCAAACTAACCCTAGGAAGAGTAACATATTCTTGTCTTCTGTTAGCGAAGAGGTGAAGGTCTCTATAAAGGCTATTTTTGGGTTTGAGAAAGGTGAATTGTCTATCAAATATTTGGGTCTTCCTCTATTTCTTCGAGGCTTAAAGCTACCCATTGTTACTTTCTTCTTGAGAAAACAGAAGTCAGGATCAGTAATTGGACCAATAAGAGCTTGTCTTATGTAGGAAGACTTCAATTGATCCATTTTGTGTTGTTTAGCTTACAACTTCATTGGGCATCTCATTTGAAACTTCCCAACAACTTCTTGATAGGGTTGAATAGCTTTTAAGAAGATTTCTATGGAGGGGTACTAAACTCACCAACTTTGGTGCTAAGGTTGCTTGGAGTGATGTTTGTAAGCCTAAAGAGGAGGGAGTTTAGGTATTAAGAATCTGAGGTAGTTCAATGATGCCTTAATGCTCAAATATTTATGACAACTTTTTACAGATAAATAGAATATCTGGTGTATGTGGATCCATTCTTATCACTTACATGGTCAAAGTCTATGGGAGGCAAAGCCATCATAGTCTAGCTCTTGGAATTGGATCCAAATGCTCAAGCTCAGGGATCTCATCAGACCTCACTTGGTGCACATTATAGGAAATGGTGCTAATACTTCCTTATGGTTAAACAATTGGCACCCTAAAGGGTCTTTATTGTGCAAGGAACCAGCACATCATCAACACATCAAGACTTCCGAAGGATGCCAAAGTGTCTCTAATCATAGATAACAATCAATGGGCTTGCCTTGTGGGTAGGTCTAGGGACTTGGATGATTTCAGTAGCTCTATGCCCAATTGCTCACCAGATTCTACAAAGGAAGACTCTGTCAAATGGCAAGTTCACCACTGAATCTGCTTGGAACATCATTAGGTCCCAAAATCCTATAGTACCTTGGTACCAATTGGTCTGGTGTGGACATCTCATACCTTGAATGAGTCTCATTGTTTGGTTGGCTATTAGAAATAGATTAAGTACAAAAGATAGGATTTCATTGTATGCACCATAGGTGGGCATCACTTTCTCTTTGTGTCATCAGCTCCCAAAATCTCATCATCATTTGTTCTTTGAGTGCTCCTATGCTTATGGTATTTGGACTCAACTGATGCAGCAATGTATCTAGCAACCTCAAGCTCTGCAATGGAATGACTTCATTGTCTGGGCAAGTGTTAATTGGAAAGGAAAATCTTTGAAGGTTGTTTTCCTCAAGCTTGGCCTCTCTGTCACTGTTTACAACTTATGGAGGGAGAGAAACAATAGATCCTTAACATTCTGGTTACATCCCAACAAAGTTTGCTTTTTAGAATTTAGACAACTATCAGAGAAAGACTTTCTCTGCTTAAGTTCAAGGCCAATCCTCAGAATCTAGTCTTAGTGTATCATTGGAACCTCTCCTCTGTTTGTCTTGTTTGAGAGTTTTTGTTCTTTGCCATTTCTGAGGGATGGGATTAGGGGGGAAGTAAAGTTATTTGATCTACTTCTACCTTAATGCCTTCTTTTGTTGGCTTTGCCTTCTTGGTGGTGTATTGATCATGGCTTGGCTGTGCAAGCTGTCTTTTTTACTTTTCTACCTTCTTTTGTCTTAATACAAGTTTACATTTCGGGAAAAAAATAAGTTTGTATGAAATCAGTAGTATAACGTTTGCATACATTTTCACTATTTCCCAATTCTTCGGTGCCGGGGTTTTTTTTATAGTGGACTATTTTCTTTTTCACTTTCGTGAGTTTAAAAACATTTGATATCTTGCCAATAATATTCAATTATTTTTAAACAACTCATCATAAAACTTGGAAGTGTAGGCATATAAATGCCAATGTAAACCTAAATAATAAAAGTTAAAAAAGTAAAAAGATTATTTATTTAAACAAAGCTTTTTAATCATTTTATTTGGG